CCTGGTCTACAGAACGAGTTCCAGGGCAGCCTCCAAAACAATACAAAGAAACCCTGTCTCAAAAAACTTAAAAAAAAAAAAGGGAAAGAAAGAAAATAAGTGTATTTCTACATAAAGATCCTTCTTGCTTGTACCAGCTGATAAAGACGGATAAATCTATCCTTGCACACAGTAGGTGTGTAACTTGTGACTGAAAAATACGAATCATCTAAAAGCAAACGTAGGGTTAGGGCAAGGAGTAGTTCTAAAAGTGGAACAGAGAAGACAGCTGGCTGTGGGTAAGTGCCTGTAGTTCCAGTCCCTGGGAGGCTGAACAGGGCAGGAGGAATGAGAGTTCAAGACCATCCTGACCTACACAGTGAGTCAGAGACCTCCCTAGACTACATAGTTGAGAAGAAATTTAAAAAGAGTAGGAAGGAGGTACCATATGATCACAGACCAGACCAAACCCTCACCCTAGGAAGGAGGGGACTTAGATAAAAGCTACCATGACCAATTTAGAGAGATGAAGAACAGAAATGCTCCCCCCCCCCCCCGTAATCTTAGGACAATGTAATGCTGGACAACAGCCAGGACCCCCAGCATAAGACCCCCACCAGCCTGAGATCTGCTGAACCCTGTCAGGGTTCTCGCCACAGACTGCCACCAGCGCTTTCCTGCCCTCTCTTGAGCTTGCTAGAAGGTGTGGTCTGCAGTGACATCCTTCTACCCATCCGTCTGAGGGATTTCAGAGACAAACACTCAGGCCACCAGTCTCTACCCACTGAGGATCTCCAGAGTCAGTCCACTCCCCATCGACTTGGTGAGCTCAAGGGTCTGAGAATGCACAAACAGCAACCTGCCAGGCAAACCTAACTCTCACCATGGGAAGCCATTAGGTGGTAACCTGTCTTAAGGACAGGGCTGGGGAGATGGGGTGGATACGGCGCTTAAGGTACCAGCCATCGCTCAAGCTCGCACAAAGTAAGACGGGGTGGCACGCATCTGCAATGCCAGCACTGCTACAGTCGACAGGAGGCGGAGGCGGCAACAGAGATTGATACCTGTCCTCTGACCTCCACACAGAGCCACAGGCCCCCATGTTCACATTTACATCACACGTGCGCGCGCACACACACACACACACACACACACACACACACACACACACACACACACGTTAAACTGACTCACCAGACTGTGCCAGGTGGTGGTGGTACACACCTTTAAGTTCAGCACTTGGGAGGCAGAGGCAGGCGAATATCTGAGTTCGAGGCCAGCTGCTCTACAGAGTGAGTTCCAGGACAGACAGGGCTACACAGAGAAACCCTGTCACCAAAACAACAACAAAAGACTCACTGGGCTAACGCAGACCTTTAGGGAATGACTGCCCTGACTCTTCCGGGCACTGGAGCGTCACCTAGTGTGCACTCAGCACCACTGACCTTTCTCACAGGCCAGGGTCCACCACTGTCCATTCCAAGAGATTACAACTGTTTGAAAGCCAGAGCAACACTCCTCAGTCCTCCCACTAAGGGGACAGAGCACACAAAAGTCCTCCCCTACCAAGGCTCCAGAAGAGAAGAGTAGAGAAGAATCTCTCTGGGATGGCTCTAAGAGAGTCAGAGTCGAATATGACAAAGATGAACTGCACTTCCCAATTAACTCAAAACATACAAGTGCATTTATTCGCGGAGTCACGATTGCAGGCTGTGGGTGTGGCTTTAGTGGCACAGCACTTGTACAGCACCAAGAGGCTCTGGGTTCAAGTCTCCTGGGGAGAGGAGAGGGGGAGGAGGAGGAGGAGGAGAAGGAGCAGGAGAAGAAGAAATATCTTAACTGTTTCAGCTGGGCATGTATTCCCAGCACTTAAGAAGTAGAGACAGGAAGATCAGGAGTTTAAGGCCAGCCTGGGCTCCAATGCGTCTCGAACCAAAACAAACAGAAAGAAGTCCTGAACTATGCTCTCACTGTGTCTTCTGTGCCACCCACATAAAGAATGACCTGTTCTTAGGTCTCGCTCTAAATGGATACGAATCTGAAAACGCTAGGAGGTATCTATGTGCAAAGTCCTACAGTAGCTGTTCAGCCCTTTCCAGTTGACCTGTGCACATAAGCAGGGATTTCTTTCCTGACAGCCTTTCTCAAGTATTTGAAAGGTTTCTCTACACACACACACACACACACACACACACACACACACACACACACACACACCATCCTTTTTGAATGGGAGTTTCACATTGAATTAAGTTCTACAATGACAAGAATGACAAACCTAAACAAACACAGGACTAAATACACCGAGTCTCCATGAGCACACCATCCAACCGCAGGGAGCCAAGGGCTGGGAACCCGCTGCTGAACGCAGCAGTCAGTCACCGGGCACCATTGTAGGCAGCTATCAAACCCCCTCAGGGAAGTGGACCTGTTTCTGCAGCTCTCATGCGGGACCTATAACTATGGTTTCCTGCGGCTGAGTGATTTTTGGTCATGTTTTAATCTCTTTCTTCACATCCTATGCTTCTTGACACTGGTTAATTAAATTTAAAAATCAAGGTCCTGTTTACACTTACATTATTGTAGCTTTGTGCTAATGATATTCTGAAAACAATTCTTTTGATTAAAGCCATCAGTGCCAATTAAAAATAAAAACTGGGGGCTGGAGAGATGGCTCAACGGTTAAGAGCACTGGCTGCTCTTCCAGAGGACCTGGGTTCAATTCCCAGCACCCACATGGCAGCTCACAACTGTCTGTAACTCCAGCTCAGGGGATCTGATACCTTCACAACAATGTACATAAAATAAAGTTAAATAAAAAATAAAAATAAACAAGCCGGGCGTTGGTGGCGCACGCCTTTAATCCCAGCACTCGGGAGGCAGAGGCAGGCGGATCTCTGTGAGTTCGAGACCAGCCTGGACTACCGAGCGAGTTCCAGGACAGCCTCCAAAGCCACAGAGAAACCCTGTCTCGAAAAACCAAAAAAATAAAAAAAAAAATAATAATAATAAAAATAAACAAATCAATAAATACTGGGCTGAATGCCCTCTTGAGTGTGAATTCTACTGAGAACATAAAAGTTTCCCTGGAACCAACAAATCACTTCCCTTCCAACACAATTACATAATCTTAGAGTTAAACAGTACCCTAGAGATTACTTTGTGGTCCAAACTCCCTCCAAACTAAGAGACTATCAAAAACCCCTCTGGGCAGAGACAGACCTGTACTCTCATGGAGTGCTGATGTACAAATCCCATCTAACAGAGGGCTGCACCTCAGTGAGCTCTGCCTGTTTGTGTCACTGAACAGAACAAATCTCTAACACCGGCCTGTGTCCGTTAACATTATTGTTCTTACCAGACTATGACTATAGTACCCACTGAATCAGTAATTCAAGATTAGCACGACCACCCTGCTCATTAACTAACCAACATGCAAAAATACATTCAATAAAGGAAACGCCACCATCAAGCAAATGCTTTAATTCTTCTTGTAATAGTTTAAAATCTCAAGCTCCTACAAATCAAGTCCCATCCCTGGTGTGACCTGCACAAGGCCATAGGTGGCCAAGACACACCAAGAAGCCTGGGCATCAAGGCTGTCGTCAGTCCACCAGAAGTTTTAACCAAAACTGAAAACTCGGCTGTTCCTTTGCTTAGGATCCTAAGTTTCCAGGGTTTATCCAATGCTCACATTTTCAACCTCTTGGACGCTCTTAAGTCTTGCTGCATTCATGTGACTAAATTACACAACCTTCCACTATAACTGGGGTAGGATTTAACCACCTTACTCTGGTAAAGCATGCCATTATGCTAATTAGTTTTCCCTCCAGTCAACTGCCCCAGATTCTGTCTGACTTCCCATGTGATAATGGAGAGAACAAAGCCTCTTACAACACTCATCGTCAACCACACTTTCACGTAAGGATGTATTCTAAAAACTGCTCAGCACTTACAACATGACCCCGCTTACAAAGCAACTCTTCTAAGGACCTCTGCAATAAAGGCAAAGTAACAAAGTATACATTTCCCAACTGTTTTTTGCTGTAAGCGCCACAAGCAATCCCTCAACAGTACAATGGACGCTTTCCCTCACTTCCTTCAGGCCGTCATTTAAATTCCCTCCTCCCTTCTAAATATCTCCGGACAGTGACTCCCGGCAATCCATCCGTCTGTTTCATCACGGCTTTTCAAAACTAACGGGTCAAGCTCCTTTCCCCCCATTTCAACACGATGCACCCTACTCCTGCAGCCTTGCGACCGCAGCCCAGCGCTGACGGCCGGGAGAGGACACACTCGGTTTCACTGTCCTTCATTGTTTCCAGGCTAACTGCCATTTTACCACCGTGCACACGACAGAAATGTGTTCCCACGGGCGTCCTATGAATTCCCAAAGCAGCTAATCTCTGTGGATTTACAAAACATTCGCCTTTTCCGAATTCCCTTCGTCACCACAGAAACGGCTTTGTGAAGCTGAAGATTTTTTTTTAAAGTCCCTTAAGCAAAAAGAAACAGACTCTAAAATTTAGCATTTCCTACAAGTTGTCCTATAGTGCACAACGGGAAACATGTCAGGATAAAGACCCTAACAGTGTCTGTGGAATTTTTCGGTCCAGGCACACAGACACACAGACACAGACACAGACACACACACACACAAACTGTAGGCCGTGTGCTTTCTTTTCGGCCTCAACAGCTCAACGTCAGAATCAAACGGCTGACCCCGGCTGGTGCACGGCGCCCGGGAATCTTGCGTCCCTGCCGGGGCTCGCCCGCGGCCGCAGCTCCCCGGCCAGCGGCCCTCGGCTCCCACAAAGGCCGGCCCGCGCCTCGTGCACGTGGGCCGGGCTGCTGACAGGCGTCGAAGCCGGCGCCCCGGCCGCCCAGAGCCTTGACCCCCGGCCTCGGGCCCGCGCGTGCCCTCCGCTCCCCGCACCTCTCTTCCTCGGGAGACCCCGTCGGGCGCCCTCCGGACCGCGCCCCGCGCCCGCCCCCGCCCCCCGCCCCGGCGGCTCGCTCACCTCCTCCTCGCTCTCGCTGCGGAAGCACAGGCACGCGGCCCGCTTCTTGTAGCCGTCGCCGTCGTAGGTGCGGGTCTGGTTCGACTTGAGCTTCATCATCCTCCGGGCCCTGGTGGGTGCCGTGCGGGGGACCTCGGGGTCGGGAGAGGGCCGCCTGGGGCGGACGGCCGCGCGCGCGCCCCCGGCTCGGCCGAGGCGGGGAGGAGGGTCTGTGTGTCCGCTACGCGGCTCCGCGGCGGGCCAGCCTCATTGCCCCCGGCCCAGGCCCCGCGCCGCAGCCACGGCCGCCGTCGCCACCGCCGCCGCCCCCCTCTGCCGCCGCCGCCCCCGACGACGACCGCGCCGCCATTTTGGGCGCGCTGCGTCAGCTGCGTAAGGGCACGCGGACCCGCGGGCTCTCCGCGCGTGCGCGGCGCATACCGCGTTCGGGAATCGCGCCCGCCCCGCGCACCGGGCGCAAGAGAGCGGCTGCACCCAGGGGCGGCGGGAGCGGGCCCAGCCGCTGGCTACGCCGGCAGCGTAAGACTGCGAAAGGCCGAAGCCTGGCGAGTCAGTCGCGGCGCGCGGGCACCACCCCGAGTTCCCCCGCGGTCCGCTCCGTGGCGCCGCTGGGCGGAAAGCAAGAGACCCCCGCCTCCCAAGGTCAACGGGTTAGCCTCCCAGGCTGCCCCAAGGTCGCGCCGCTCGGCTGACGGGAGTGGATGTGACGGCGCCCGTCTGCTGAAATCGGGGTGCTGTGCCTCGCCGCAGACCGGCACCCCAGCAGCTGCCCGGGATCGGGAGTGGGCGAGGCGTCCGTTTGCGCTTCGCAGTCGGTCGGTGGCCGTCAGAACATATGTGCGTCCTGCGGTCGTTTATTTGTGGAAAAAAAAAAAAAAAAGCAAAGGCCGTTCAGGGGTGAAGCTTGAGGGGCAGACCACTTGCCTGCAAAAGGAAAAGGAAAACAAATGCAACCTCCTAAGACGAACAGGAAGAGCCGAAGGAAAAGGAGAATGTGTGTGTGTGTGTGTGTGTGTGTGTGTGTGTGTGTGTGTACAGCACATGTACGAAAATCACGAAACGTTTCTGGCAGTGAGTTGGGATGAGCCTCTTGGAGGACGTGAAAGTTAGGTTCAGCTTTCCTACATCAAACCCAGCCCCGTTACCATGCACTAACCCTTCGGAAAACACTGTGGGATATACAAGGTTCATCGTAATAAACTGACTGGTGACACATGCCTTTAATCCCAGCACTCCAGGACAGCCAGGGCTACACAGAGAAGCCCTGTCTCAAAAAACAAAAACACGCAAAAAAGACATATCAGTAAATCCCAAAATATTTGTGTGTGTCATGAGATGCTTGTGAAGGTCAGAGGACAGCTTGTGTGAATTCTTCCTCTCCCACCACATAGGACCAGGATACTGAACTTCAGTGGTCAGGCTTGGCTGCAAATGACCTTACTGGGCCATCTTGCTGGCCCTTATTACCTATTTTAATCAGTGTATTTATTATACTCATTAATAGCCTAGACGTGCCCAAGAGATGACTCAGTAAGTAAAGACACCTAAGTGTTAGCTCCCCTAAACCCACACAGTGAAGGGAGAGAACTAACTGTCTTCAACTGGACATGTGTTCACATATACTGTGTCTACATACATAGTAACCTTTTTTTTTTTTTTTTTTTTTTTGGTTTTTCGAGACAGGGTTTCTCTGTGGCTTTGGAGGCTGTCCTGGAACTCGCTTGGTAGTCCAGGCTGGTCTCGAACTCACAGAGATCCACCTGCCTCTGCCTCCCGAGTGCTGGGATTAAAGGCGTGCGCCACCAACGCCCAGCCATAGTAACCTTTTTTGTTTTTGTTTTTTGAGACAGACTTTCTCCGTGTAGCCTTGCTGTCCTGGATACTCACTCTGTAAACCAGGCTGGCATGGAACTCAAGAGATCCGCCTGAATTTTTTTTTCCAATATTCTGATTTAAAAAAAATAAAGGACTGGAGAAATGGCTGAGTAGTTAAGAGAACTGCTCTTCCATAGGAACTGGGTTCAATTCCTGGCACACAGGGCTGCTCACAGCTGTCTGTGACTCCAGCTCGAGGGGATCTGACGCCTTCACACAGGCACACACTGAGACAAAGAAGCAGTAAAATTAAATAGAAAGGTCTGGCTGGAGGTGACTTGGTTTAGGAGCACTCTCTGCCCTTGGAGAGGACCCATGTGTGATTTACAGCCATCTGTAATTCAAATTTCAAGGAATCCCATGCTGTCTTCTGACTTCTTCAGGCACCAACCACCCATAAAATAAGATGAATAAATCTAAAAAAAAAAAAGGTCAAGAGGACTGGGCATTTATCTACCATGTACAATGGACTCAGTCCCCAGCAATCCATTAAAAAGTTTACCTGATGAGATAGCACATTCCTTGATCCTAGCACTGGGGAAGCAGAGGCAGAAGGATCTCTGTTAGTTCTAGGACAACCTGGTCTATATAGCAAGTTCCAGGACAGCCAGAACTACACACACACACACTGCTTGCCTAGTATTCTTGAAGCTCTAGCTTCCATCCTAAACACATAAAGTAGATAGTGTAGGGAAAAGGGGGCCAGCCAAAGAAACACACCCTGGGCAGAGCCAAAGAAACGCACCCTGAGCAGAGCCAAAGAAACACACTGGCCCTGCAACCACAACCAAAGAAATGTACCCTGACCCTGAAACCAGTGCCAAAAGAACACTGGTTCCTGGATTCAGAGTCAGTGAAAGAAATGCACCCTGGCCCTAAAATTGGAGCCAAAAGGCTTAAAAGGACCAGAGAAAGAAACACACTTTGGCCCTGAAACCAGAGCCAAATCTGACCCTAATCCTGTGCAGAAAACTAACCAATCCTCGAGCAGGAGCTCTAGCCAATCTGAGCTCAGCACTAAAATCTGACTAATCCCCACCCTGGAAGCCCTATATAAACCCTGTGTCTGTTCAGTGTCCTCTGCCACTCCCGATTCTTCCCTCCAATAAACCCCTTCGATGAACTTCGGGTAAAGATCTTTTGCGGCTGTGGCGACAGAGTAGAGGAAACCCTGAGCAGAGCAGAGCGAGCCGGGCTGTAACACTTGCCTGGGAAGCCTTCCCTTGACAGAGCGGAGTTGTTACACTCCATTCCCACTCCCCGCTCTCTGGGAGCAGAGCTGAACTGTAGCAACTTCGCCCTAGAAAACTCCTGCCAAGCAAAACTGCTACACTGGGCGAACATGCCCAGCTGGAAGGCCCTGTCCTGCCAGAGAAGAATTGACACACTGGGGAAGCCTTTCCCTGAGGCAGGGCTGTAAGCTGCTAAGCTTACTACAACCTGTGGTAGTCCTTGGCTCCGGAGCTCCAGGATACCTTTCTACCTGTGTAACACTCAGTATTCTGTGACTCCCAAGTGCCAGAATACCTGACCCATCCGGATCTGCCCGAAATGCCAACAGATAACAGTACAATTCTGTAATCCAAGCTACTCGGGACATAGAGGCTGGAAAATGAGGTACTCCTCAAGGCCATTCTTGGCTTCACAGCAAGTTTGAGGCCAGCCTAGGCTACATGAAACCTTGTTCCAAAGTGGGAAGGAGTTGGGCATGTGTGACGCACACTTTTAATCCCACAACTCAGGAGGCAGAGGCAGGCAGACCTCTTGTGAGTTCGAGACCAGCCTGGTCTACAGGAGCTAATTCCAGAACAGTCTTCAAAGCCACAGAGAAACCCTGTCTCGTAGGAAAGGGGCAATGAAGAACTCTTACTGGTCTTACAGAGGACCCTGGTCCAGTCCCCAGCACCCGTATCAGGTGGCTCAGTTCTGGGGAATCCAACATCTGGATTCTGTAGGCACTGCACATACCCAGAAAATAAAAACAAAGCTTTAAATATGTTATCTACATGTGTTCTGTTGATATTTCTTCTGGCTTGGGGGATAAGAGCACTGCCTGCTTTTCAAGACATCCTGCGTTCAATTCCCAGCAACCACATGGTGGCTCACAACCATCTGTAATGAGATCTGGCGCCCTCTCCTGACCTGCAGGGATACATGCTGGCAGAACACTGTATACATAATAAATCTTTAAAGAAAGGATGCCCTTCACCTCACAATGGGCCCTTTGATGTGTCAGTCACCCAGGCAGGGCTGATTGCTCAAGTGGCTGTCCCTGTGGACCTGGGCCATGCATTCATCACAGGCTTCCAATAAAGCAGCTCTCAACAGCAGTGGCTCTTGGGCTTCCCTGTGCTGGAACCAAACAATTCTTCTCACCCCCCTCCCCACCAATGACCTCATTCTGTCCCAGCTGCCTTTTCTAACCCTGAGAAAATGGATTTCCCTCCCTCCCGTTCTTGCTAACAGTTTTCACTGCTCCACAGCCACTGTTGACCCAGTGTCTTAAGGTGACCACTCAGGGCCCAGATGTTTCCGATTCTGTCATGAGGGCAGCAGTGTTTTGAGACCCCTCCCCATGCTTCAGGTGGGCTCCCTCATCTCACTCCCCCACTCCCCGCCTGGAAGCCCAGACCTGTAGTCCCCGCACTTGAGCAGTACAGGGAGTTCAAGGTCAGCATGTTAATATGGGGACTAAAAAATTCTCTTCTCCAGAGGCAGGCGGATCTCTGTGAGTTCGAGGCCAGCCTGGTCTACAAAGTGAGTTCCAGGACAGCCTCCAAAGCCACAGAGAAACCCTGTCTCGAAAAACCAAAAAAAAAAAAAATTCTTTTCCCACTTCCATGTAATTGGAAGTTTGTTTTTTTTTTTTTTAAATCATCTATTGGCCATACTATATAATCCCAGCACTGCAGAGGCCAGCCTGGTCCGGACAGCGAATTCTGTCCTAAAACAACACACACCTAAAGCCCAAACAAGGCTTTCTGTGTGTGCAGAGACCAGGGCAAGGCGCCGGGTCCCTGGAAGCTGAGGTTCCAGGCATTTGTAAGGCCCCTCGAAGTTCTCTCAGATGAAAAGAAAAGCAAGTGCTTTGCCACCCAGCCATCTCACCTTAGGTACATTTGTGAAAACAATACTGATTTTCTAAAAACTTTCTAATTTTGGTCATTTTTTTTCCAAGACAAGATTCCTTTGTTGACCTGGAACTCACTCTATAGACCAGGCTGGGCTCAAACTCACATTGATCCGCCTGCCTCTGCCTCCTGAGTGCTGGGATTAAAAGGGTGCACCACCACTGCCCGGCTTTTTTTTTAAGATGAGATTGTGCATGTTCGGGGTGGCACGGCTGTGGACTTGCCTGCATGTGTGTTCCCCTGGAACTGGAGTTTCACAGTTGTGAACTGCCATGTGGATTCT